GCCGGTGCAAGTCTGTCTTTTAAACAAGTTCTTTTGTTCGTTAGAGGTTAGTTACCAAATGTCTAAAACCACCAAAGAAAACAATAAATTTTCTTGTACACACTTTGACACCGTCGATGAGAGCCTTTAATTTTTTGTATAAGAATAGCTTGTTCACTGACATAACATGTTTTATCTGTGAACATGCTATTCACAAACCTAAAAAAAGCCTTTCACCGATGGTTGCAAGAATGTATAGAAAAAAATGTGTACAATTATTTTTTTTGCAAAGAAAATACCTTCGTGAAAAAAATACGATTGTGATTGTATGTTTTTTGGTCCAAATCGATATGTCGTACCAATACTTTTGTCAAATTTCATCATACTGTTCTTTGGTCTAATATATCCAAAGATATGGAGTCAAATGCCTCTTGCCCAGCTTTTTGAGAGCTTGTACATTTTTCATTAATTTATTTGTTTTGTATAAAAGGTAAATGTGCATTCATTATCGTCATCACTGTCATTATCCCAGTGTCACAAAAGAGTAGAACGGATGTATGCGGTATAATCCTTGTACTAAAGTACATATATAGAGATTGTTTCCAGATGATCCATAGTGAAATTTGCGTCGGAAATTGCATGTACTATTTATAACAACGAGGCGCAGCCAATTAAGTGAGCCATTTTGCTCTATTTCATCATATTCTCGAGACAAAAAATAGAGTGTCTTTGACTTCAATGCAAATGATGGGAAAAGGTAAATGTGCATTAAGTCACAAAAATTAAATCCAGCATTAAGGGTTATACCCCTTCACGTTGAAGCAAAACATTCTTTTACTCAGCCATAGGATACAAGCATCCAAAATAATACAGCACTCCTGGCACAAAATAATCTCAAGCCTAGAAGTCAATCATATGAGAGATAAATTATAAACAAAACACCTTAAATAAGTAATCTAATCAGTAAAACAAGATCTATATATGTTCGTATATGTTCAAGTCAGAGAAGATAACCTCATTGTCGAACTCTGAGAGGACGATCACCGCCGGGAACAACAAAACCCTAGACAGCTAGGGATACAACTTGTCTTTTGCACTAAAGGACTTAACATTGCTATTTTCTAAAATATTAACATGGTTAAAAGTTTCTTTAATTTCAATATCTTGGTTTTTGAAAGGTCTTGATAAAAAACGATTTTTATAGTTTAGATAAAATTACGAACTGAATAATTGCTCTAAACAGGACTAAAAGTTCATTAAAGTGCTTAAATAAGAGTAAATGTTTATATAGGCCTGTCAATGGGTCGGGTCTAGACCCGGACCCGACCCGGACCCGTTTGTTTTTAATGGGTACGAGTCTATATTTTATTCCGTTTACCCGGATCCGGATCCGGACCCGTTAGTATTTTAAATAAACGGGTCGGGTATGGTATATATGATTCCGACCCGTTAAGGACCCGGACCCGTTTAAAATTTCTTATTTGTATACACATACCCTCAAACATAAAGTGATTAGTTATAACACTTTAACTAAAATAGAAACTAATATACATAATAATACATAAAGTTATTAGTTTTGAATTTGTGATTATTCAATAAAAATATACACATTAATACATAAATACTATATAAGTGATACTGATCAAGATAGTAACATCCCCTAAAACTAATATTTATTACTATTATTATTAACATTATTATTACATTATCATATATAATACTACATATGATTTTATACTCTTAGTAGTCCAAGAGACCTTTTTATAACTTAATTTCTAGTTTATTCTACGAGTTTTTTTGTGCGAGAGAAAGCGGTGCAAAGTGTGGAGCTATACGCATGTACAAGAACCGATACTTTATTAGATAAAAGTACTAATATTCTATGAGAGACCTTGGTTTTTTTTTAAAAGTGAAGATATATTTTGCTTTAACTTTGTACACTTTGTTGTATATTTCACATACATGTCTTGATATTTTCACAAAGTTTATAATGGTGTGTGTATCATACTTGGCGGGCGGGTCTACCCGACCCGATTCCGAGACCCGTTTGGTCTGGGTCCGGGTCCAAATTTTCAGACCCGTCGGGTAAACGGGTCGGGTCTGGGTCCATTATAAACTTAGCGGGTCCGGGTCTGGAACACTACATTCCGACCCAGACCCGACCCATTGACAGGCCTAGTTGTTTATAATTTCGTAATGAAGACTTAGGGTGTTTTTACTTGAACTGTAATTCCTCTCAAATCAGACCAGACCAGACCAATTCAGACCAGACTAGACTTGAATAGTTATAAAATACCCCGTACAAAAAAAAAACAGACCAGCCCAGCAAATTGATTCAAGTAAAAACTTTGATCAATTAAAGGAGTAATACGCCGGTTTTTGTTGCTGTTGACTTGAAATGAGTGGACAATCACAAATAAGCTTAACACCAGTCATGATCAGCTCGTAGATTGGTTTGGTACTTAGCTAGAGTTGGTAGCTGCCGGCTAATAATGGTTATGAAATTGTTATACTAATAAATCAAATTTGACCTATTATCAACAAATGGGAGACATTATTAGGCTAGATAATGGAATACGTACTAATAAAATCCTATCTACTTGATTTCAAGAGATCCATTTAGATATTTTTTTAAACGATGAGATGTACACACAGTGGCGGATCTAAAAAAAATTATTGAGGGCATAATCTCTTAAAATGTTGTCTTAGAATGAAACATTAGAATAACTCAAACTCAATTATGCAATGACAAAATTGATATATAAATTAAATTTTGATTTGACATAATATTTTATACTCTCTTTACTTGAGTTACGAGTTAAAAAACGAGATGCAAATTCTAATTACACCTAACAATAGATGTAAAGTTAAATTTCCTCATAATTAAAGGATACTCTGTAATATATTAATACTTGAATTGATTTGAGTCTCATATCATGTTACATCAGACCAAATATGACCTTAACCGAGCAAACAAACATAATCCCCGTGGCACAAAGGCTACTTCCTACGAAGAAGTATTGAAGTAAGAGGAGTGGATGTACGCAGTCTTATCTATGTACGTACAAAGCACAAAGACATTGTTTTCGGACGACTTATGATGAAAGTCACGTTGAAAATCGCATGGACTAAATGCTGCTTTATAACAACGAAATGTTGACAGTTTAGTGAGTCATTTTGCTTTATTCCATCATATTCCCAAAGCAAAAATAGTGAGTCTTTTGCCTCCATTGGATATGATGGAAAACACCAACTTCTAATAAAATAGACTAAATCAAATCAGATAAATAATTTTCGATTCAAATAAAAATAAACCTTAAAGAGTGTATCAAGTAAAGAATTAATGACAAATTTTTAAAAGTTCACGTCTTTTAATAGTTAAGATGTACCGGATGCAAACTTTTCTAGATTATTGCAGGGGGACAAACTATACCGTAGGATCGGCCCACCTTCCGCATGTGAAGAAACGGTTAGCAACACAAGAGGGGGGTGAATTGTGTTTTTGTGGAACTGTAGCAGTTTCTTGCACAGTTCTAGTGTGGGGGCAGGGAAATGCGAAATGGAAAGTGCACAAAGATTTAACGAGGAAAAATCCCTTGGCTCAAAGGATCAAAAACCCTCGACCTCCCTTGGAGGAATTTTGAACAACTTCACTAAAAAGCCTTTTTGTGGTTACAAGGTAAATTCTCCTAATCTATCCTTGAGCCACCACAACTCTATCCTCCCTAGAAAGAGTTATGCTTCTCTACCTTGCGGGTAGAGAGCCTATCAGCTTTACAACAAAGCTCTCACACACATGATCCCAACCCGAGGAAGCTACTCTTTAGCTTTTCTTCGAAATCTAGTTACAAGATACAACAATAACAACATCCAAGCCTTAGTCCCAAAAGATATTGGGGTCGGCTAACATGAATCGATACATGATATCACCACCAAAAGGAAAAGAAAAGAAATAAAGATAAAAAAGATAAGTTATTATAAAAAGATAATATAAACAGAGATGAATATACATAAAAATGATAAAATAAAAAGGATACAAATAATGCTTATATATATAAGGATAAAAAACAAGGAAAAAAGATGAGGGAAAAAGATGATACGAGATCACTCCTTCACACGATTACCCGCCCTTCCACTTAGCTAAAATCTAGTTACAAAATAAAGAAGAGAAAAGAAACTCTATCTAGAACTTCGTGCGTAGGTTCAAGTGCCTTGAACTTGGTAATATTTTGCAAGTCTTTCTCCTTTTGATCGCTCGATCAAGCACACCCTTCTTTCTCTTGATCCTTCGAATATATATATAGGCTGCTGGAAGGTATCCGTTGTTCCTCCTTTCCTTAGATGGTTGGTAGACTTGCCTTGACATTTTTGAATCACCTTCCTTCTATGTGGACTTAATCATTCAGACTTATTGCTTGTGATAATCAATTCACAATACACAATATATCGTAATATAAAATAAAAGGAAGTAACAAATTAGTTTGTCAACCATGCAATCGGTCCATATCATATACTACCTCCGTGGCTCCGTCCCGCTATGATTGTCCCGTTTTACCTTATCGGTCCATCCCACTAAGATTGTCCCATACCAAATTTGACAAAGTTTGTGTGGCTCTAAATCATTCTTACTTTATTCTTACTTTATCAATTCAATATCAACCACATAAACCACTTTTTATTGATTTGCGTGTCACTCCCTCTTGTCCCATTGTTAGCAGGACAGAGGGAGTATATGGTAATGGATCACTAGTGTAGAAAACACTGTCTATGTGGGTTAAAAAGCACTTTTTATGTCGGTTCCCGTAACGACATAGTAGCCAGCGATATAGAAAGTCAGGCTCTTTTCGTGTCGGGTAGTCGTACCCCTTATAGAATGTTTTTTATAACGGTTACGAATGTAACCGTTATTGAATATATTTGCTAAAAGGTTAAGGTTAAGGATACTTTCCGTGGCAGGTGTTGTAACCAATGCGGAATACTTTTGATATCAGTTGCTATAGCAACCGTTATAGAACGTGCTATTTTTAAATAAAAAAAATAACACCTTTTCATTCCAACATGACCACAATATTCTTCTATTAATCAAAACAGAAAAAAAGGCACATTTGCCCTATCGAAGTACATGAAGCATCACCAATACAATAACATTAACACTTCTCTTTAAGCTAATTAACTGAGTCATGCCACCTAAGTCCTTCCATCTGTGCTTCTCAGAGTCAAATTCAAAGAACTTCTGAGCATGGCTTTTTTAATCTCAAAGTCCACACCCCACCATTCCTGAAGCACAACAATTCAAATGTGGTGTCAGCCCTCTGAATTTGCTTCTGAAGGCATATAAACCTATAAAAATTACAAACACCTAATTTATATCTAAAGACATTTGACTTGAATAATCTGTATATAATAATTACAATTTTATGTATCTACAAGCACACTATTTAAATAACTTAAGTTTCACTTCTCCTACACTTTAATACTTCAGGCTTCAATAAAACTCGTTTAACCCAGAATTTCCTAATTTTTATCAAATAAAATAATAAAAACCAAATTTAGATCATAATAATAATAATTAAATAATAATAGAAAAAATAGAAAAGCTCGTACCTCAAGCCTAGACAAACATGACATTAAACCACAAAGACTTTTATAACAGACCAATTATGACATGTGAAACTGAAAAGGCCACAAGAAAAAAGAAGAGACAAGGTTAACAACCTGCTTAATCCTGTCTTTCTTAATTTTCAGTCAAAAGAAAATCAACAACACCTGTTTAGTTACAGACTAATTACGCTTCATAACATAATTAACGAATAGGTTGTACATCAATGCTCTTTATAGCATCACAGTTCACCTGCAAGAAAGCAAGCATTGGTAGAAATCAACGAGCAAACAACATTTCAATAACAAGAGAAAAACTAACCATGAATTCAATCATTACTTTTGTTTCATTAAGTGCCAAATATAATAAAACTTACAGTATACAATGAGTAACACTTACTCGCCGCCTATCGCCCGATGTGTGCATTACTTGTCATTCTTTGCAATAACAAAAGTCCCTTTGCATTTCACACGTTCACCTAAATCAGCCTTTAGTATATCCACATCTTGCTTCAATTTGTCAGTTTATTGTGATTTTCACATTTGAAATATTGGGCCTGTGGTTTGCTATAGATTTTGAAAAAACTAGTAAAGAATATAATAGTAAAGTGATTTGTGAATCATACATTGGTATTTGGTAAGAGTATAAAATTTTCCAAGTGATCTGGGAAAAAGAACTAATCAAATATGGCCTATTTTTCAGCTCAAGAATTTAAGGGCTAATGAAGCAACATTTCCACCAATGCAGTTGAGCCCCATTGCAGGTTCAAGTATACTGCCCTATATCAGACATGAGACAAATGGAATACATAAAGTCTTTTATTGAGTGAGATTAAAGAAACAGTGAGAAAACAAAATAATAAAAAATAAAACACAAAATGAGACAGAGATAACATCTCGTTAAACAAGTAAATGAAGTTGCTGCATACCAGAAGAGTCTAGATCTTTTTCAATATCAAGCTGGCTCTGAGTTAATACTTCATCAGCACCAAGCTGTATGATTTTATTTCTTGCCGCATCTGATCTTGTCCTGTTAATAAGTATCAAACTTCATAAGATCATAAATTTAAAAACTTTATGCTTGAAGTACAATAAAGCTCAATAATCTGAAACATCTTAAAAAACTTCATAAGACATACGAACACCATTTTTTTGTCTCACACTTATACCAATCACATATCTACGAGTAACATATTTAAGTTGGAATAAAATACTAATGTAATGAAATAGCAGGAGGGGGTCAACAAGAAGGGTTTGCTGAGTATTTAATTAAATAGTGTGTACAAACATCTTCATTCACTTTTACTTGCTCAACTTTTCTTTCATGGAGTTTTTGTTCCCTGGTCAAGAAATTCGTCAATTGTTGATATTTCACGCATGATTCTTATTGCACTAAACAGGATTCTTGATTAAGGTCAGCCCCCAAGATGATGCAGTCACTGAGTCACACAAAACCACAACAGCAGGGATGAAAGGAATCAAGCCACCTACAATCAAGTCATATTGCCTCATGATGCAGCATTTGCAGATCCTTGTAACACGTTGCAACCAACAGCAATTTTGCGAAAATTGTCAAGTCTCAGCTTTCCATCACCATCACCATCATTGAAGTGCATCATGTCTCTCAGCTCTTCCTCGGACCATAAAAAGTCATGTGATGCTGCTACTCTATGTAAATCTTTCAAACCTATGCTTCCTTTTCCAGCTTCATCAAACTGAAAGAAGTGTAAAATGAGTTCATCTTCAGTCATTTGTACTCGATTCCTGATCGTTTGTTTTCTCTTCCTCTTTCCTTTTCCTTCTACAATGTTGGAGTCTACTTTCTTCACTCTACACTTCTCGTCCATGATACGAGCACGATCACATTTAGCAGGTTTTTTGCTAACATCTAAAAAACCGACAGAATCTTGTAGTGATAGAGCAATTGCCTGCATCAAATCATCATCATCCATGAAATCTGATTCACTAAGAGGCTGTTTGTTCAGGGCTCTCTTCTTTAGAGGTAAACGTTTTTATTGTTCAGGGCTCTTTTCCACCTTTTGTTTTCTCTTCAATCTTTGTTTTCGTAGTCTAAAATTTGTCCCTATGCCGGAGTTTCTATTGCAGGCTGCTCAGAGTTTGAGCATGACTCGGGGTTCTCTGACTCAGCCTCAGGCGAGTCCGAAGATACAGGACTCAACATTTTCTCCGACGAACTAATGACCAGGCGTTAATCTTCTGAAAAGGGACAAAAACCAAAGTTCAATACAACATCCAAGCCTTACAACATCCAACAAACACCAAAGTACAATAAAGCTGAAAAATCAACATCTAAACATAATCTGATTAGCTAAACTACATAGAGTTAATAGATTAAAAAACGTGTACAGTATATTCAATTTTGACTTCCAAATCTAGACAAACATAAGAGATGTCTTGTAACATTTAATTTCTGTAAATTGACTACATTTGCTAAAACCAGAAAGAAAAAATGCAGCAAGAAAACACTATTCAGGAGCAAAAAAACTAACCTTAAAATTCAAGAAAAAATGCAGCGAGGAAACACAGTCTTATAATTAGCAACAACTCTAGTGACCAGTGCAGCAAAAAAAAAGCAGTCAATTTTGAGAAAAATGCAGCAACGATGATATGTTTAGGAGGTAAATTAGTATTATGTCCAATAATCTAAACACTAAAGGGCGTTGTTACAAAGTATCACCGAAAACAACCTTAAAATTCTCGTAAAATAACTACAAAAATACAAATCAAGCAAACAAAAATGAAAATTTCCTATTAAGTTTGAAAAATAGTTAAAAATCTAAGATGATAATCACCAATAAATAAATAGATACCCCCATAAGTTGCTAAAATAAGCAAGAGTGATGAACCTGCAAAACGAGGAAGCAGAACTAGAGAGTTATACTGGACAGCAGCGGTCACCGTCTTCGTCGAAGTTGCAAGGAGCGATGGCGTCGTCGTCTTCGTCGATTAACCTAAAGCAGCAACGGTCGTCGTCTTCGTCGATGTCGCCGGCAGTAGCAGCGTCGTCTTCTTCTTCTTCTGCTAACCTGGAGAAGTAGCGGCAGTCGCCTTCGTCGAAGTCGCTGGGAGAAGCAGCTGGATCGTCTTCGTCGCTTAGGCAGAGCCGCAGAGGGATGGGTTAGGTTAGGGCAGATTGTATAAGTTTACCTCGGTCTGAACGCTTACGCTTTCTGTAAGGGTAAAAAATGAACTGACATAGAACATTATTTTTTAAAATTATAAAAGAGCCCTCATTTTGAAATTATGTTTGCGGAAATTATAAAAAAGACCCCGTTTCAGTTTATTATATCAGTTGTATTTCTAACCGTTATAAAAAACATTTTTATATTTGTAATACTCACCCGCCTAACTTACTCAAATTTTCATTATTTATAAAAATGACCCCGTGCCTACATATTATAACGGTCTTAAGTGAACCCATATTAAAACCTAGTTATAGAATGTATATTTTGCACTAGTGGATATTCATTTAGAGCAATAGTCAATCAAAATCATGGACAATAAAATATTCATAGATAAATATTGATACGTTCGTAATTTCCATATTTATGTCTATGTTTTTAACTAGTTTTGCTTGACTTTTACTTTGGAAATTACACACTTTTAGTGTAATAGATTAGATTGTTAAATTCTTGTAAATAGGTTAGATTAGATATATTCTGAGCTCAAGCAGGTATTGATCACTCGAAGTACAGTTGGTGAATCCAAAAAGTGGAAAGAAGGTGCAAAAATTCAAAGACAAAAGAAGATCCTGAATTTTGGTCTATACTCGGTCGAGTATTAGCTATACTCGATCGGGTATTAGGTTGGAACTTCAAATCGGATCAGATCCGAAGACAAGGGAACATGCAGGGAAGATTTCGGCCACGATTTTATGTCTATACCCGATCGGGTAGACCGACATACCCGATCGGGTATGCCTTTGAATTTCAAACGAAGATCGGTCGAGTATGGTCCGAATACCATTTTCTAAGCATACTCGACCGGGTATTCATATATACTCGATCGGGTATACTCTTAGAAAATAGCCTGAAACCGGTCGAGTATGCCTCGGATCGAGTGTTACACACGTACTCGATCGGGTACCATGTATATACCCGATCGAGTACCCGAATCCCATCCCAAAAACCTATAAATACACCTCCTTTCCTTCACAAAAAGATATCCAATTCCTTTGTACATCTAAGCTCAGTATAGAATAGCTCTTTCTTTATATTTTTCATCATGTTTAGTCTCCAAATGAGGAGCTAAACTCTTCCATCTTGGTTTTGCTACTTTGAAGCTTAATGAATTTGTAAGTTGTGAGTTATTTTCTTTAATCTTCTTCCTTGAATATTAATTCTTTCTTTCAAAATACTATCTCTATATCAAAGTTGGGGAGTGTTACTAAGATGACAATTAGTTAACATCTTGACATTGGTTATAGTAATAGCTATTTCTTCCTCTATGATAATATTGGGGAGTGTTACTAAGATGACAATTAGTTAACATCTTGATATTAATCATAGTAGGATTCATATATTTTAATATTCTTCCTTGAGTATTAATTAATTCCTATTCATATTTCATGTTAATATCATAAACATTACTTAAAGTATCAACTAGTATTGTTTCTCATATTAATTATTACTAGAATCAATCGGTTAATACGCTTGTTATTAATCCGGTTCTTCCAACGGTAGTAAACTTGGAATATTAATGCATGCATCTCATGGTTAATATGCCAAGGGGAATTAATTATATTGATTAAACCAATAAACCGCTTGTGTTGAGGTTATCAATCTCAATCGTTTTCATCTTAAGTTTATTGCTACTATCAAGTTAATATACGGCGCTTGTTCTATATTGACTCGATAGTATGTTTTATTAATGAACGCATCTCGTTATTAATAACTACCCTCGATGAACTGGATATACTCCTCGATTGAGTATTCGAGAGGAAGATAGTTAAAGATATAACCGGGATCGACGAACATTTCATTAAGTGGATAAAAGCAAAACCAAGTCATCATCTCATTGAATTAAACTCATATAGGTTGTTTATCTTAGTGTCTTTTAAAGCAAACAAATCTAAACCCCCCTTTTTGTTACTATTTATTTAAAAGAAAAGTATTCCTTTCCCTGTGGATACGAACCTTACTACACTATACTACGTATTAGTGTCGTATTGATTAATTATTTTGAGTGCACCTAACGACGAGTGCACGTCAAATATGTTGCAACCAATTTTGCTAAGTGGATCGGTCAACTATAATAGAAAAAGGCAAGTTATTTATACTACCCTTGTAATGAGGCTACCAAGCTTGTAATGCGAATGCTTAGTCATGCATGTAAAATGTGACACATATATACTATAGTCTAATTCATGCACGCATATACCCATTTATTTATCAAGCACGACAATAATTCATAACGAACACAACTAAGTTCATTTCTAGTAGAACAGGTAGTAGTTCTATTCAATGGTCCACCTGCATGGTTAGTTACATAATGAATTATTTGTCCTTTTCTGTTTAAGATTAGTCATCAACAAAACTAAATAATCAACAGCATGGTGTGCCGATCCTTCTTTATTGGGAAGTTACATTACTTTTCTTCCTCTCTGGAGCTTCTTTGTTCCTTTTTCTTTTTCTTCTTTCCTTTTTTTTCTTTTCTTTTGCTTTTAAATTCTTCTCCTTTTCCATCAAAATAAAATATTAAAAATTTAATTGCAATTTTACTTTTCTTTATCTTTAACTTAAATTATATTGGGGGCATGCTTTGAATCGGTTCAACACGGAGGAGCCCTTTCTGCTGAGCTCGGCTGTTCAAATCTCTGCAGTTATAACGACTTGCTCTCTTTTTTATTCTTTATCAATACATGACAAAAAGTTTATTAATATAAATAAAACAATTATATTGCATTTCATATTCATACACTATTTCTATTTCTGTAATATTTTTTGTATTCATACACCATTTTTGTAATATACTTTTTATATTCATACATTTTTTTGTAATAAACTTTTATATGCATACACTTTTTCTATAATTTTTTTTATCGTTTTTATATGTTTTTAGAGGTTTTTAAGACATTGAGTTTGCTTATTTTGATTTTTGGAGTTATGTTTGGTAACATACATAGTTACATCTTCTTATGCTCGAGTTACAAGTTATTACGCGTGAGTTACATCTTGTTATACGCGAGTTACATACTTTTATGCGCAAGTTACATCTAATTATGCGTGGGTTACATCCAATTATTTGTGATTTTTTACTTATCTTGATCTTTAACTAATTAAATTACAACTGAATTAATTTTTCTTTACCAATTTATTATAAAATTTTATCAATCCACATAAATTAAAATAAGTATATAGTACTTATTTCATAATCACAAAATAAAACTCTTTTATTGCAAAAAAACCTTTTTTAAAATCGATTTTCCTTTGCAAAAAAATGATTTTCTTAAAACATTTTGTGGTCTTAATATTCAAAACAAAACATATTCACTATTTAGGTAAAGTAATAAAGAAATTAGACTCCTTTTTTATTATTTACCTTGAAATCATTGTTTTAGACAAGTTACATTTTGACTTACCTGCAGTAACATTTCTTACTGACGTGAGTTAAATTTCTTTACACGCGAGTTACATCATTCATGTTACTAGGACAAGAAGAAGAAAAACTTGTACACGTGTGTACTGTTCACACGATTTTTTTTAATTGATTAAGACTACGTCATTTTTGGGCCTCGAGCATGATGCTCACCATGAGATGATCCCACGGTATACGAACTGATGTAGGAGTATTCAAACATTCATTCATTGTTATGGATTTATAAAAATAGAATTATTATGAACTTTTAACTCATTGTTACCTACACTAATTACCCATTGTTTTCTTTTCCCCTCTCCAAAGATTTCTAGACTTTATCTTTCACCTTCTACTAGTCAAAAGCACACATGAATTGATTTCGGAATGAGATCGGAGTTACGTTGGGTGATTGATTCATTATCAGGGACCCAAAATTGACCAACTGTCTTGGATCGGTATCGGATCAGGTGATGGGTACGAGGATACTTTCGATATGCAAGGTTTGCAAATTAAATCATACATTTTTTAAATCTTTTTATGATAAATAAAAATTGAACAAGGAGACTCTGCATCTTTGATAAACTTAAATAAAAATGTGATTATATTACTTATCATTTTATGGAGATGAAAAGTATCTTTGGGTAGGATTGGTTCATTATTTAGGATGTTTTTACTTGGATTGTAATTTGCTGGTCTGGTCTGGTCTGATCTGATCTGAACTGGTCTGATCTGGTCTGGAACGAATTACAGTCCAAGTAAAAACATCCTTAAAGGACAATCACTATTTTAGGTTAGCCCAACTACCTTAGAAAGTTTCCTTTAATTCTTTTTTATACATTGTATGATGTTAATCGTGCGTGATTTTAATGTACTCCCCTTTCATCCAAATATAAAATGTGATTTTTTGTTTACCCTGAATTTTAGGAACCATTTGTACAACTAACCCGTACAAATGAGATCATATCAGTGCATGAAAAATAATTAAGAAGAAAAGCTTAACTGCACCTATGTTCATATCAAGTACGGAGTATCAACGAGACAACGAGTGTAACAATTGTTTTTCTTACTCATTGACAACCATAGTATGACAACGTATCATAACGAGATTGAGTTTGAAGGTCATCCTCTCAATTTTTAGTTCTCTGATAGAAAATAAACATGAATGTTTCTAATAATTAAGACTCCATATTACAATATGAATTACATTCTTTCGTTTAATTTTTAATTGTTTCTTATAATTTTGTGTAATTATGTAGTGGAAAAAGAATGTAGTGGAACTATGGTTGGACTCGGGTCGGGCCACCCGGCCCGTGGACCGGCCCGGCCCGCTACTGTGCGGGACCGGGACCGGCCCGGTTCTCGGGTCCGGGTCCGGGTCGGGCCTAGGCCAGGGGGTAGGGCGGGTCCGGGCTCGGGTCTCAATTTTGGTGAACCGGCCCGGCCGGGTCGGGCCCGGGCCAAATTGAATTCTTTTTATTTTTTTTTCATTTTTGGGGTTCCACCCGGGTTGGGCTTGATGGGTAGGATGGGTTTGGGGGGGTTTGCGAGGGTGGGGGTGAGGGGGGGGGTTAGGAAAGCAAAAAAATAAATAAATAAATTCCAAACCGGAGGCCCGGACCGGACCCGGTGGCTACCCGGGCCAGTCCCGGGTCCAATATTCTTGAACCGCCGGCCCGCCCGGGCCTAGGCCCGACCCGGACCCGGCCCGGACCCGAGTCCATCCCTAAGTGGAACTTCTATGAATGTTATAAATGTTAGAGAAAATTGGGTATATAAGGTCAATAAAATACTCCCTCCGTCCCTTAAAACTTTGTCATATTTCCTTTTTAGGACGTCCCAAAAAACTTTCCCACTTTCTCATTTAATCAATTATTTTTTTGTTTCTATTATTTCTCTCTCCTCTGTACAAATCTCAACCACACAGTTTTTATTTTATTATTTGTTGTGCCGGTCAACTTTGGCAAAGTTTTAAGGGAAAGAGGTAGTATGTACCTTTAAGTTAAAATATTATGGATATTAATCATATTATGGATGAGCATACATAAGCTAGATAGCGTTTATCAAAATCCACCGGTACAAATAAGATCTTATTTGTTAAATTGCTTTTTATTGATATTTTCTTTCAATTCATTTAATTTATCCGGCCCATAACCGGCCCGGCCCGGTACCCAGGTCTGTGCCCGGTTCAGGCCACTTGGCCCACTACTGTTCAGGGGCGGTTCCCAGGCCTCCCAAATCGTGAACAGGCCCGGCCAGTTCAGGCCCGGTTCGGGCCTTTTTTTTTGTTTTTCAAAATTTGAAAAAGGAAAATGGGTTGGGTGGGGTGTTTTGGACAGTTTGGGGTGTGGGGGTAGGAAGTAATTAGAAAAAAAAAGAAACTGGGCCGACCCGGCCCACACCGGTAGCTATCCGGGTCAGTTCCGGGCCTCAAGGTTCCCAAAAGAAGCCCGGTTAGAACCGGCCTGGGCCCGGCCCGCACCGAGTCCATGCCTAACGGACTTGAAGTTCGTTATATGTGATGAGACTATGAGAGAAATAAAAAACGACAAGAAATGTTGTCTGCATTTCTTAAGATATTGTAAAATACGGAGTAATTGTTTATTAGACTTGTAATATTAGTTACTACGCAGTACGCACTCCGTATTATTTACTAATGATAGAAAAATGATCTATAATTACGCTTATAGATTAACATCTAGTGGTACCATTATCTATTTATCCCTTGGGATGAGGAAAAGGGCGGCAATAGAGCCAAGGGTAATGGGGCAAGGTGTGTCTATGTCAATGATGCAAATATGTAATCCATCATCAAAAAGAAACGAAAGAAAGCACATAGAAAAGAGAAGCAAAAAAGTGTCGACCAAAATGTACATAAGCTTCTTGTCAATGTTTTTCCTAGGCAGAAGTACTTATCTGAAATGCTTGGTATTTACAGCATACTACAGGCAATCTCACAAGACCCCCTTTTGGGGCACATCTATCACAAACAGCTTTAATCATCCACTCTATAAAAGCGAAGCAACTTCAATGACGTTACAAATTCCTGGTGACAATCAAACACAAATCGTCAACACCCATGAAATTTCCCAGTTGAAGCACTTATAACAGCTTTTCTTTAATCATAAAATAAATGCTCAGAAAAAAATATATTTCAACCTGACACAAATCATCTGACACGGGAGGGAATGTGAAGCCTGTTGAGCAGTTTTTTAGTTCCTCAGGACTTTTCATCCATGCCTTACAGGCGTCACTAAGTTTGATTTTGAATTTATACATCTGAAATGGAAAATGAATAATGTGGTAAGATAGCGACAATTCCTCCTGTAGGATACACTTGAGTAAAAAAAGACAAAATACACACCTTAAACATGGGCGAGAGGGCAAGGGAAAACAATATATTTGATCAAACTATATAAATTTATTTTCTTCAAACTGATTTATGTATCTATTTCAATCAGAAAAAGAAACTGAAACAAATATAAGAACTTGATAACATTAATCATATTTCTTACTCCCTTTTTTCCACTGCAAATGAAAACATTAGAAAATAATTTTCCATAGAATTTTATTTCATTTCCCTAGCATATACCAGGACCCCAAATACGCTATAAGCAATAAAATTAATACTCCAATGCAACTTGCAAACCTGAGACAGTGGGACAGTTGGTTTCTCCAAGTCTTCTTCAGCAATCCTCACACCTGTACCCTGGCATTCTGGACAGAAGATTGAAGAAATGTATTTTTGTGTATCACCGTTCTTTGTTTCACCACTGTGAGTGGTCGCAGCTTTTCTTCGTGACCTTTGTTTTGTTTTAGGTTCATCCGATTGTTTCACAAGCATTTCCAACTCACAAAGAAGCATCCAGTGGATGAGGCAAGAAGTATGGTATACATGAAATGCCTGCACGTATTACATGGTAAAGTTAAGAGAACAAAAAACAGCAGAAAATAATTCAAAGAAAGGAAAACAGATATGAGAAAAAATCTTACTCCCGTCTTATTCCTACTGCTGCATAGAAGTCTTCCAGTTTTCATGTTCAAGAGTGTTGCAACATCTTTGCCTGGAAGCATTTTTTGTTGGCAGATATTGCACATCCTGACAGAGGCTACCTCAAGTTGCCTTCTCAATTGTTTCCTTAAGGTTTTACTAGAAAATATTCTGGAATCCAGTGATTGATCATTTCGGCCACAAAACACTAAGCTTGAATCTGAAGATTGAGACTCTTCACCTGAAGAATCGTACTGATTGCTTAGAGAGTCGATGACATCCTCAGGGTCAGAAAATGATTTCCGCTTTTTAGTTTTAACAATGCCAGTTTCGCCAGGCTCAAAAAGACAAGCAGGAGGAGGCAAAGACCTATGTTCCTGAAGTAGCCCATGCCTTCCCAAACTGTAATTATAGGGGAAAATGATGATAGCAAAGTCATGAACTGGAACCCTAATGTCATCCTCATTACAAGAATCCTTATTCCCCAGCCACTCACACCATATTCTAGAAACCTCATTAGAAGCCCTATCCTTCCCACCGACCCTTGCAGCAATCCTTCCAATGCCTATATGCTTGACTACAAGTTCAGAAATCTCATCTCTGCAAAGCACGCCTGGAATAAAAATCTGATGTTGATCTCCAGTTCTAGAAGTTGTACAATTCTCAACATCCTCACCCATATCAGGCACTGAGTTTTCATCATAATTGACAATAGCAAGAGCATCAACACCATCATCATTCCAATCTATACCTACAACATTTGTTTTCTCAGAATTTGAAACAGGAGGAGGTTTATCTTGCTCCGGATCAGTGAAGAAAAAAACACCATCATTAAATGGCCATTGGTTTGGTTTGAACAAGGTGGCCTTGGCAGCAGCTAGCCTTTCAGCATGGAGACTACCATTCAAGTGATCAAATAGAATTAAATCGCTATAGCATGGTGAAAGACACAAGGTGCAGAAAAACACAAATCTCTTCCCATCCTTCCTGAGTTCAACATATGTGTGCCCCTTCTGTCTCACATTATCCAGGGTCTTCTGTGCTGATTTCTCCTTCAAACTGCATGCACCACTCTTCTTAGGAAGATCTAGTTCCTTACCTCCCGCCATCATATGTTCACAAACCACAGTAAATCTAAGAGATGCTGAACTAAGCTTTCGCAATTAGATGCTTCTAAATATCTTATTCTAACACACGAATCCCATTGATAGAAAAAGAAATCAAGATCCGAAGTCCAAAAGTGATATCATGCTCTTGAAATTGTTCACAACAACAAACTGAAACAATCAAATTTCAATAACAAGAACTGCTAGGAGTTTTCAACTGCCGGAAATCAACTCGGCAAGAAAGCAAGGCATTTCAGACGAATTAATTCCTTTTCCCTAAAGCTCCTTGAATCGCACATACAGTAGCATAAACTATTATGGAAAGCGAAACTCACAAAGCAGTCACGAAAGTTCGACTATTCACGGTCCAACTTATTGTGCACAAAGAGCAGAAACATACAAAATGAATTAAAAACAAACCCTAGACCGAAGCTGAGTTCAGAAATCCCTAAATTTACAACTTCTCGGCGTGCAAGGTATTGTCGGTATCTTCGTAAACTGTTGAGCTATTCGTTTCACGGCGCCAAGAACTCCACGTATCTCGAAGAGCAAAGCGAGCGAGCAAGAATCGACCATATTCATCAACAACTCCATAAAAGCTTCGATGCAGGACGGAAAGGGCAGGGAGAGAAACGAAAAATCGGAAATCACGATTGATGAGTCGGCCGGAATTCAAAGCATTTGGCGTTACACGTACCGAAGTGTATATGCAGAGCGCAATGATTTGAGGGAAACCGGGAGAAATGGTTGACAAGAAACGAAATGAAACGAAACGAATGAAATCCGAACTAAATTCTGGTTAGAGAAAGAGGAAATTCCGCAGGGACCAAATAACATTGAAATTGAAAAAATAGGAGCCGAAAATAACTAAAGATTTCTGTGGGACTAAAAATCATGTGAATTTCCAAATTTGACCTCCATGTCCGTCCATGCACGTAATGAAACCTCTTTAATGTCATTTCCTATTTGGGTTTCCGATATATTCCGTACCCAAACCTGCTGTCGGAAGTTAAGTTTCCAAAGATGGCAACCATTCAAAATAATTAAAAACTCTACGCATGCGTGAGAGAGATTTGGCAAACGACAACTTCTACTGCGAATCGAAAGTTGGAGGCGATTATCTGTTAAGCTTCAATGGAGATTGATGATTCCGATTTCCAGAGTCAGAATGACGATTCCGACTTTCCACCGGAAATGCCAAGTTCGCATGACATTAGAATCAACTCCAAAATGGTATGTATTGCTTCTATTATGTTATTTTTGTATATTATGTTGATCCTGAATGACAATATGTTGAATGAAATTGAATTAGTTGGATAAATTTGAAAGATATATGTATGGTCTTTATGTAAGTACTCTGTAATGGCATTAACATGATTAATGACGTAATTAAAAATACATTTAGAACAAAACAAAGGTTTAATGGCACTTATACTTTGCTTAGTCTCATGTGTACTTTAGTTTGTAATAACATTACAAGTTTTCTATAAGCAAAATATGTAATAGTGAATTGGCAATGGGAGAATAAGAAATTCATGTGATGTTGTTATGAAATGCTAATTTGTTGGTTTGTTTGTGGTTCATGAGGAATGTGAATGCCATATATATGTTATTGTGTTGCCTCTAAATGAGAATATGTTGACTCAAATGGAATTCGTTGCATACATTTGAAAGATATATGTGTTCTATTAATGTTAGTAATTTGTAATGGCAGTAAGATGATTAATGACGTAATTAGAAACTGATTTACAACAAATAAAAGATTTAAAGGCATTTATACTTTGCTTAGTCTCATGTGTACTTTAGTTTGTAATGGCATTACAGGTTTTCTATAAGCAAAATATGTAATAGTGAATTGTCAATGGGAGAATAAGAAATTCATGTGATGTTGTTATGAAATGCTAATTTGTTGGTTTGTTTGTGGTTCATGAAGAATGCGAATGCCATATATATGTTATTGTGTTGCCTCTAAATGAGAATATGTTGACTCAAATGGAATTTGTTGCATACATTTGAAAGATATATGTATTCTATTAATGTAAGTAATTACAAACTTATTTAGAACCAAGCAAAGGATTAAAGGCATTTATATATTTTGCTTGGTCTGATTTCTAATTTAGTTGAAAATGGCATTATTAGTGGATTTTCAATGGGAGAGATAAGCATTTGTATAGGATATTTTTGATATCATATGATACGATAATTCTGTGTTTTGATTTTTTTGGAAATGTTTATTTTTAGTTTTGATGTAATTCTATTTTAGTGGAAGTTATGAGAATTAAATGCCATTATTTTATTTTTCTTCACAAGACTGACATTATGATGAATGATATACACATACACATATCAAACAAAAAAATTAATATTGAAGGCATTCTTTAAAGAACTGTGAAGCTATTATTCTTTGTTTTTTGTATCCTTTTACAAAATTACAAAAACAATAAAATTGACGTATTCATGGCATTCTGTAGTGCATTTTTAACAAGTGAATTTAATTGATTTCTTTTTTAATAGACAATAACAAGGTACTTCAAGAGGACAATTTTGGCAAAATTAGATGACATGTGTGTCAATTGCTACTGCAATCTGCTCAAAGTAATGGAAAGGGTAAAGAATATTCTCAGTAAAGAGGAGCTGGAGGATTTAAAAGCAAGTGTTTTTGGTTGGCTCGTAAATTTTTCTACCATGGATTGGGTTAGTGGACAGCTACAGCTTGGGTTTGTAGGAAACTATGTGCAGTTTGTTAATGGGTTGATTGACAAGAATGTGATGCGATTCCATATCCAAAATAGTGTAATAAGTTTCACTAAGCAGGATTTAGCAATAGTCACTGGTTTAAAACTGAGCGGGGAGAAACCGGTGGTGTCAGAAGAGCATATTGGAGATATCTGGAATCGGTATTTGGGAGGCAAGAACACAGTTACAAGAAGTGACATTTTAAAGGCCATTAGTAGTTATAAGAGTACTGATCCGGCAAGTATGAGGTATGATGGGGTCAAGCTGGCACTTCTCTATATTCTTTCACATGGGTTTTTAGGAAATCAAACAGCAAAACCAATGGAGTCACACTATTTGAATCTGGTTGATGATTTAGAAGCTTTTAAAACCTACCCATGGGGTGATGTTGTGTGAAATGAGTTGATCACTGATATGAAACAAAGTTGTGAAGCACTAGAAAACTGCAAAGGTGAAAGAGTGACATTCCCAGGTTACATGATTGCAATACAAGTATGGGCATTTGAAACATTCCCAAGCCTGTCAAAGGGAGGTTTGTGTAAAGTGATAGAAGGGAGAGAAAATATCATCCCAAGGACACTGAAGTGGGAATTTCATAAGAAGCCTCGACTGGAAGTTTTGTGTGACCTAATCTTCTATAATGACAAGGTATATGAAATACTAATAATATATTATATTATATATTTTGTGATTAATAGAATAATATTATACTAATATGGTGTGTTGTGTCAGTTTGAATGGACAGGTATTGTTCCAGTTGACGAGGAGCTTTATTTGATTGAAGGATTCAATATTAATGGTGCTAGAGTGGAAGTTGAAGAAAATGAGAAAAGAAAAGAAGGAAATGGAGCTTCAAATGTAGAAAAAAGAACAAAAAATACAAAGGTTGTGAAGGGAAAACAAATAGGAGTGAAGAAGGGAAAAACATTAAAGGAAAATGCTGGTGAAGGCAGTTCAAAAGCAAAAAAGAAGGCTGTAAAACAAAAACAAAGTGACACTGACAGGGAGGATGAAAGTGAACAAAACACAAGTATTGCTTCACGTAAAAGGCAAAGAGGCCAAAAGATGAAAGCAAAGGGCAAACAAGCACAACAGATTGCCAAAAAGAAGGCAGTTATGAAAAAAACCAAAAGAAGGCCAGTAAATGCTGGAGAAGGAACTTCAAAATGCAAGAGCAAGGGTAGAAAAGCAAGAGAGAGCAATGATGACATGGATTCTGAAGAAGATGAAAGAGAGGATGAAAGTGGAGGGTTGATAAATGCTGGTTTATGTACCAAAGAAGCAAAAATTATAATGAAGAAAATCAGCAAGCAAACAACAAGAACTGTCAAAATAATGGCAGATGTTAAAGAAATGAAGCGAAGACAAGTTAAGCAAGAGGTGGTACTAAACAAAATTCTTCGCTTTATGAGAGATTTGACCAGGCATCAAATGAATAGGAATGAAGGAGGAATGCCAGGACAAGAAGAAACTGTAGAAGACGATAATGAGGAGAAGAAGGAAAATGCTGATGAGGGCAATGAAATGAAGAAAGGAGACGAGGATGAGGATGATGACTTAAGTGGAGCACGAATGGAAGAGAAAAACCAGAAAGAAAAGAATGCAAATGGAGCAGCAAATGATGTTGAGCAGCCAGAAGGGGTTGTGGAGGAAGAAGAAAATAGGGAGGGAGATAAGATCGTTACTGAACAAGTAAATGCATCAGTGGACAGAAATGGAAAACATCATGTTGAGAAAGAGAAGGTTATTGGCAAGGAAGATGATATGCCTAACTTTGATATATTTTCATTTCAAACTCAGCCAGAAGTTGAAGGAACAACAAAGGAGAATGAAGCAAGTACTGAGGGCAAAGAAGAAAGAGAGAAAAATGAAATGAACACAGAGAAGGAAAAAGCTGCAGATATGTGGGGAATGGGTTCTCAAGAAGATAGTCAATTGGTGAAGGAAGTGTGTAAAAATGTCGAAGAGGTTGAGAAAGTGGCATTACAAAGTACAGATTCAGAAAAATAACGCCAGAAGACACACAATTTGAAAACGAACTCTGCAAACATTTGGATGAAGTCGAAAAAGTGGCATTACAGAGAAAGGCTTCAAAAAAAAAAAGCAAACAAAGCATTCCCGTAGCTAATAAGGTAAGAAATAAATAAATATAATGCATTAAAATCAGGTTGGTTTAATATTATAGAATTAAAATATGTTCAATGTAAACAGGTGAGAGAGAAGAGATGTCCACGATCACCAGCGAGGTACACACCATCAGAAAATACTGTTGAAATGAAGAGGAGAAAGAAAGAAAGAACAATGAAAAGGAATCATGACATATTTTTACCACCACTAGCAACAGTATATGGGCCATTTTCTGAAGACCCAACTGAAGCGCCACCTGAGAAGGAAATGAAGAGAATTGGTGACTTTCTAAGTATTGGTCTGCTAAAGACAAAAAAAAGGTGGATGATAACAGAAAGTACAAGATGGATGAGGAAAGGATGTATGGAATTCCAATGGTGCTGAACACGATAAAAATTGAGTCCAAGACATGGCTATACAATCTGTACTTCAAAGATCAGTGGTTGCAAGACACGGTATGTGACATGAAATATACATTTCAAAATTAATACAATATCAATTATTATTGCCACTAATGTGTGTATACAAGGATATAATTAGCGAAAAACTAAATTGCTTATACAATTTTTTATATATAAAATACAGCATATGGAGGTGGGAATGCACTATTTGGCAGTCAAAAGAGTTCATTACAAACTCAAACAACAATATAGCACAAGTGGGCCGTTTTTTATTACAATGCTGAGGACGCTACATGAGGACATAGGAGAGAACAAAGAAATTGTTCAGAGTGCAGCACAGAATGATATTATTTTCCATGATATCTTGGGAACTACATCAAAATTTTCACTGCGATGGACAGATGCTCAATTTGTGTACATCCCATTAAATGTTGGACAACATTGGGTGTTGCTAGTTTTGGACATCAACAAGAGAAAGGTGAAAGTCTACAACTCCAGTTCCAGAAGGGGGGATTCATTGAAAGAGATCAGACCGTTCATACCTTGCATCAAGTTTTTGCTTCCAAAAATAATGGGCTGCTTCAAATTGTATGAAATTAAGGGGGAAGAGCCAATGGGAGAAATGCCACTAGAAATTGAAGTTGAAGAGAACTGTCCATAGCAAGATAATGCGTAAGTAAATAACAAGTTGTCAACAAAGCTAATGATGAATTTTAAATGAAAAGGTATATATACATTATTAAAGGTGTAAGTAAAGCTAATGTAATAAATGTTTTCATTTGATTACAGGTTTGATTGTGGAATGTATGTCGTAAAGATTGCTGAATTTCTCATAATGGAAGTGACTTTTGAGTGCATCGATCCAGAACTAATGCCTATGTATAGGAAAAAAATGGCAACAGAGCTGATTTTATACAGTGAAAGGAGGTTGGAAGAAGCAAAAGGAATGCACCTGCCTAAATTTATCAAGGATTGAAGTGAAGTGTTGATGATAAATGGAGTTTTAATGCCAATCATGTCTTGAACAAATGGTTTTAATATGTAATAAGTTTGTTTTGCTTTAAGATAAGTTCCAAAATAATCTGAATTTGTGTGAACTTGGATTGTGTGCTTTTGTTTTGCCATGGATACTGCTTATATGATATGACCGTGGTTTGTGTTTTTAAATTTGTTTGATTATTTTTGTTCTGCATTATGAAATATTGCCGCAACAGTGGATGTTATGAAAATGAAATGCCATTATTCTTGGGTTATTCTTAAATGACAAAGATGATGGTGAATGATTCCAGTATACAAACTGGTACACCTAAACATACGTATTAACAAAAAAAAGTGTTTTAAAATATAATTTTGTTTAATTGGGATGTATTAAAAGTAAGGAGTTAGTGTAAAATAATGTAAATCAGAAAAACCAAAAAAAAAAAAAGATAAAAAGAAAAGTTACAAAGGAAATAACATATTGAAATGACACAATTGAAAACTTGTAGTCTATTTTAAAAAAGGTTGTAGTCTTTACTCATTATACGAAGTACATAAACAATAACAAAAAAGTGGCACAAACACACTACAAATTGCCATGATTTATATTCAACTAAAATCACACCATTACAGATGTTGTGGTAAAACCAACATTTATTAGGAATATAGCCATTGTACAAAGTCAACAAATAACCCATTATATGATTAATCCACTATTAAAATGAAATCTTATTAAGTATAAATGCATTTAAAGGAACTAATTATGCCAACAATATAAATTCACAAACACTATATAATGAAAAGTAAAACTGAGTTTGGAAACAATAAAATAAGCTCATCAAGTCTTATTATTATAGAAATTAACATTCCAATAACATCTCTTCTTATTCTGGCAATAATAAAAACAAGAGGACTCTAAAAACTATGTAAAGGAAGTCAATTTGTATCAACTGGAAGAGCATTATGGCAAGTCTTCTTATTGTGCCCAAAAACTTTGCAGCGAGAACACTTCCGACGTTTGGAACCGACATGTTCTCCGATTGATTGGATTCTGGACCTTTTTGGACGCCGTAGTGGTCGCTTCAAACAGGTAGGAGGCTTGCAAATAGTACTTGAAACATCAGAAGGAATGACACAATCTTCAGGATCTCCAATTGGGTGCATTATATCACTCCAAGTTGCCAACAATTGTTCTCGTGTGTAATAAGAGGATATGTAACTGTAACAGGATGTTGGGTGTGTTTCAGAAAATAAAGATAATTAATTAAAATAAATTAATTAAATAAAATGACTAGAGAAAAACAAGAAAGGAGATGAAGCAGAATTAGTCAAAGCTCGTGCTACGCACGATTTCCTTAAAACGTATTTGTTGCCTCCCACGGTGCTAGGAGCGTTGCAACAATCGTTTCCCAGGATACGATGACTACGAACTAATGTTTGAGCACACAAACAAGAGTTGCAGCGAACGAGAACCAAGTAAGAACACAGAAGGAATTTTCAGAGTAGCTGTAGGTGTTTTTAGCTCAAGAATACGTGAGGAATGTATTGTGTGTTGTGTGTTTGTTGCAAAGCACCTGCCAGCTATTTATAGGAGGATTTGTTGTGTGTTAAATGGGGTGTTAATGGACCTGAACGTTGGACATCAATGACCAGTCCGTTGGGCATTGAATCGTCCATAAACTGTCCATTTAACGCAGCATTAAAAGAGAAGAACGTTGGGCATTAATTGTTGTAACGGAAGAAATGCGCGACAGAAGACCCTAACAGAACACCCCTTGGAGGGGTTCTGTCCGAAGCCAACAGAACACCCCTTGGAGGGTTTCTGTCCGAAGCCAACAGAACTCCCCTTGGAGGGTTTCTGTTCGAGGCCCCCTTCTGTCCGGAGCACTTCTGGGAAAAAATAAACGTTCGGGAAGAAAACAAAAATTAACCGTATCTCTTGAGAGATAGATTTTTGGACGGCATTCGTGTCTGCAGGTCGCCCACGCACACGAGTCGCGGTTTTTCTTCTCCGTTTCGGAGATTTGATCGGCACCCCCCCTGCGCGTAAGAGAGAGCCTTTCCCTTTAGGAATCTTAACTCCTTAAAAGAGGCTTCCATTATAAGGGGGTGAAAATCCCTTGAGTTTTTCGGTGTGGGATAAAACACACTAGAAACTCACCATTTTCCCAGTTTTTCCATTTCAACGAGTGAACTTCGAGAATCAATTTCTCATTCACCCGTTATCCGTTTTGAGTGTACCACATATCGAATTGTAGCCCTTAACAAGGACAATCCGAAACCACTTTGACCCGACCCAAATCGGAAGTGGACCCCACTCAAATAATTGCCCCAAAATGACCATTTAATGCAATTTTTAACACATTTTTCCAACACAGGATAGACCAGGGCGTGAACCTATTCCAGCCACAACATGAACACACACAAAATGATCTAACTGAAATTGCCCACAAGTGCATATCCTTGAATTAAGGTTGACCACAAAGCGTCTACATTTCCTATCAATGACCTCAAACTCATATTCACAAGATGCATTCACCTAAAAACAAATGTAAGAGCACAACTAAGAAAAAATAGGATCATAAAAGCTGAAAATAAGAAGATATATAGAAAGAGAAAAGTAAAAGTAGGTAGTATAAATTTTTGGCAATAGGATATTTTAAATGCCAAATACTAATAAAGAACAAAATGCATTAACAAGTAATTTTCATACAACTAAAACATACCTTCATACGACTTGATTCAAATTGTAAGGAAACCAGAAGTTTTTCATATTTTTCAGAGAGCTTTGTACATGTAGATTGAGCTACTTCTTTCCTTACTTGAAACCATTCTTGCCTTCTTTCACGCAAAAATTGATGACTTTGGAAACACAGTACTGTCTTGCACAAGCATTCACACTATTTAAAGATTCAGCACAGTTCGAGGTCATCACATTAAATCTGTTGAAACCAGACATACATTTAGCCCATTTTTGAATGCCAACTTTTTCTGACCATGGGTGTATTCTGGCATCTTGAGTATCTAAGAGTGACATGTAATATTCATACTGTTTCACAGTTGAAGCCGAATATGCAGCTTTAAATTTCCAACCCAAATCTTTTGCAGAGCCTCTGAATTTTGATGTCATATTTTGGCGTAAGTGTTCAACACAAAAGCCATGACCAGCATGCGGAAATATTTTACGAACAGCACTAAGAATCCCTTTATGCCTATCAGATATGATATACATGTCAGAACGATATTGAATACATGAACCAACCTTCGATAAGAACCACCGCCACGTTGCTTTACTTTCAGACTCACATATACAAAAAGCTATAGGAACGATTTGATTATTTGCATCCTGAACACAAGCTGTCAACAATGTGCCTTTGTAATATGATTTCATGAATGACCCATCCAAAATGAGCACGGGCCTACAATACAGCCACGCATCTCTCCAAGGACCAAGTGACATGAAAAAATATTGAAAAGCATCATCTGCACTTGTAATAAGCGTAACAACAAATCTTTTCCAAGTGACATTGTATTGAAAAATGAGATATCTGCATTTTTATATCCTTAGCATAGACAAATCTCGATTCTATTATTGCTAAGAAGTAAACTTTAAGAAATAATTGGCATGTCTACTATTGTATTTCTAAGGCCTCACGGATATTTCTTCTTGTACTTTAGAAGACGAATAATGTTGTGCTATTTAGCAATGTTGAAGCCAACAACTTACAATGTGTTGGATTTCATTTTATCCTTTATTCGAATGATTAATAACTTCAATGAGTTATTTCAAGGTTTGTATGAGTCAATTACCACTTTGACTCATAACTTGCTTAAATATGCATTTTCTTTTGCATTTATTAGATGCAATCTAATGTTTTCTATCTCATTTTTATAGCGAGTTTCTATGTAAAAAAACATTGAGGGTACCTCGGTGGACATCGGTGTCCTCACATTGTGAGGGTTCGGGGACCACAAAGGTATATAAAGCCATTCTCGTTACTTTGACAAGAGGCTGCTCACCAGATTCGAACTCATTACATGATTCCTTTCCATGTGAGGACTATTGTGATGAACAAATTTAGAACGTAGCAAATTTTGGTGACTTCTAGATGCATTTAGAGGTCATGGGTACAATTCTTTCAACCATAAATGATTTTAAGGAATTACTTCGATAAATATGCATTCCTTAATTTATTGTGCATCACCACAATGTGTTAAAACACCTATTTGTCATAGATTGCAATAATTTACAAATGTCACTCATATACGTTAGAGTACTATGACCTCAAGTCCAATGTGGTACATATCATTCTACTATTTTATGAATATATTCCTTTGTATCCATTCTTTTATTAATAAAATTCATAGATATGCATTTAGTGAATTCGAATGCATAAACATCTCAAATATAATTTAAGATAGAACAATGAGATGTTAAAGTAATTAAAAATCTCAAACGAATATAATTTATACCAAACTTTAAGACTTGAATAAAAGTCTAATTAGAAGTAGTAATGTTCATATTTATAAAACTCATCATTTTCATTTTCATTTACCCCAGTGCCGCAAAGGCTCCCACCTACGGTGGGGTAAGGGGGGTCGGATGTACGCAGTCTTACCCCTGTACTAAAACACAGAGAGACTGTATAAAACTCATGAAAGAGTAAAATAAAAAATAAAAAATGGATAAATCCAACAATTAGAGAACGTTCATATTCTCAAAATAGTAGACAATCATGAAACTTAATTTATATTCTCATGTGGTGAATCTCTGGTTCTTTAGAGAATCTATGAAGATTAAAACTAAAAGTATATTTTCAAGTTATATATATCCTGATGAGATAATCACATTTAATCCTCTTATATTAATGGATTTATTTTAAAATTTATATTTTCAAATTCTATTTGGAAATTTCTTTATTCAAATAACTCTTGGGAGGTTTTTTTTCCCCAAAAAAAATTGTAATTGCATTTCAAAAACACAATAACAATAAACCTCATTCACTAGTGCAAGCTAAAAGCTAGTTAGTTACATAATTATTTAATATATACTGGTGCATTAGTATATATCTAGAGAAGTATGTGTAATTATCAAATTAAATAAGCTTTTGTGATTTGCTTTTCACAAAGTGTGCCGGAGAAGCACTGGATTCACAAAAGTAGTTTCTAAAATAAGTGTTGAAGATACTCAAGTTCATTTGAGTGCATAATGCCAAACTCCGGTCAAATTGATTGGTCAATTAAATTTGTAAAGCCTTGTGTGGAAATTCTTTATCACACAAATAATTAATAGAGAAAATTGAATAATGGTCGATGAGCTAAAGTACTCAAGTTCTTTTGAGTTTAAATATCAAATTCAAGCTGAAATGAGTAATTTTCTTTTCTAAAAGTATAAATGACAAAATCATGGTGCGTCCAAAATGAAAATTGGCCTTATTTCTTAACCAAAATTCATAATGATCGATAAGGATATTATTCGATGATTTCTTGTGATAGTTCTTTACCACAAAATCATGCTGAAGATTTGTATAAAATACATGTAATTGCGTTAAAGACATTATAGAAGTCCTTAATTTGACGATTGTTTCAGAGTTAAAAAAAAACAATGATCAAAGCATAGTATTATAACACTAAATAGCACTAAAACAAAGATCATATAGCCAACGATAACCATAGATATTAAGAAATAACAATGGTAATACATAATTACCATACGCCATATGGGCATCTACTGTTGAACATATATTTGTAAAACTCATAAGCATTTACTGTATAGACAATTAGGCATACATTTGCAAAACGTAATACCAAAATAATCAAGCAATCGTTTGTTTTCAAAGAAACTTTACTTTGCTAATATGAAGGGAAAAAGAATCTTTAAAAAAACTATTAAAAATAGAATGATAGAAATAGCCATATAAATATATAGGCAATTTTTATGGTACCTTGAAGGTATGGTACCTTGATGGTATGGACCAATAAAAAAAATTCAATTGAATAATTTAAATGCAAATAAAATGTAAACTTTTGAGTTGCATCAATGAAATGCATTCTAGGTATGATACCCTCCTATTTTTGATGGGTACCATAACAAGCACCAAATATATAATGCAATTCAATGAATTATTACTCGTGCTAGCAAGTAGCAATAATCAAGATTTTAGTAACATATATAGGTATAATAGTATAAGTATAAGCCAAACGGGTATAACTTGCATATACACAAATACACAATGTGTATATATATATATATATATATATATATATATATATATATATATATATATATAAACATTAAACTATACTCCCTCCGTTCCCAAAAATACTTCTCACTTTCCTTTTTCTTACACAACCACAATCATACATTTCCACTTTATTCCACTTTCTTAATAAGCGTGCCAAGTCAAATCGGGAAGAATTTTTAGGAACGGAGGGAGTAATTCTTAAGAAAAGTGTAAGCAAAGGAACCTGTGTGAAGCAACGTTGCCTTTCGGGAGTTGAACCCAGTTACGATCTTTTTCCACTTAAGACAAAAATGAAGCATCTGGATTGCTTGATTAGTCTCTCGCAGGTTTGCACCAGGAGAATTTCTAACAGAAGTGAGCGACCCTCCACCAGCGAATCCGGAAAACGGCATCGAGTTTAGGCAACGGATTCATCATGAGACGTCAGCCTTTGGCAGGGCGGACCCAGGAAAGTCATTTTGGGGGCGAAAATATTTTGGGATGGTTCAAAATACTTTTTGGAAGAACAAAAATCATTTTTCGTATATATATACACTAAAAAAAAATTTTGTTGGGGAGCGGTAGCCCCCTGGGTCTCTACTACGGTCCGCCCCTGGCCTTTGGCAGCAAATCCAGCGGGCGGCGGCGGTGGTAGACAGGTGGCTTGCGGCTGGGGCGGAGAGCGTCGGAAAACCCTTTACAACTGTCAGGACGGGTTCACGAGCTTTGACCATGGAGAAAAGATGCCAAATGGGAATTTTCTGATCTATTTGTACGATGATGAAGTATGGCATCCATTTCACTTACGGATCGTGATAGCAATTTTTGTTACCGGCGGCCGATTGAAAGAACAAAATGAGCCGCTAGGGTTAGAACTCGTGTTGATAACGTGTTCCAGGGAGAATTGTGTGTTCTAGGGAAATTGCTATCAAAGGCTCTATAATTAGGGAGGTAGTAGGGTTTACAGAGACGGGCCAATGAGCCCATATAATACATAGTCTACATAGAATGATCCTAATACATATTCTATATACACGATAGCACACTACACAGAATTACATTTAACACTTTTTGCGTTTTAAACGCTTTTTATGAACGACTTGGATACTAATGGAATGCTGAAATACAACTAAAACAAAAAGGGAGATTTCCCAAAATAGGAGTAAATGAAGTTTGGAATTCCAAAATAGGATTACTATGTTTTTATTCCCGAAATAGGACTAACATCGTAGTATTTACTATCATCTTGTAGGCGTGACTGCCAAATAGTTGCAGTATAGTGCATTTAACATTACAGTATTAATTATAATTAATGGCAGTATTTTTCAATTACAGTATTTTTCATACATGACAGTAACAACTCCTATTTCGGGAAGAAAAACATAGTAGTCCTATTTTAAAATTCCAAACCACATTTACTCATATTTTGGGTAATTTCCGAAACAAAAAATAAGATCAATCCATTTAAAAAGTAATTATACTTGAACTTTCCATATAAATCATATATTTCCCGTATTTTGCAAAGAATAGAAAAATGAATTTAATGTAATAAATGCATATAAGATCAACAATAGTTTAAAGGCAAAAGTACCAAATGAGCCTTCAAACTAACACCCATAGTGCAAATCACCCCCTAAATTAAAAAACATCCAACCAAACCCTCCAAGTCGACGGTAAAGTGCAAATCACATCTTCAATTAAAACAAATTGCAATCAAATTCTCTAACTCGAGGATGTAGAGCAAATGACTTTTCTAAGTTATAAGTTACTCATTAAACTTATGTATGCCATTTATTAAAAAAGTTATGCCACACAAGATTCATTTTTCTACTTCATTTTTAAATTACTTAGAAAATATAATAATACAAACAACAAACTATACACATTAAGAATGAAATGTAAATTCATTTGAACATTAAATTGACTTGTACAATTACAAAAATTTTAAACAACAATAGAGAAAAGTTACACAAATATGCTAGTCTTTGAAACTCTCGCTTCCTTAGTCAGTAATCGTTTCCTCCATGAAGTGGCAGAGCAGTGCCAATTTTAGTTCTTCAATTCGTCTTTGAAACTCTCGCTTCCTTAGTCGATAGTTCTTCAGCCAATTGGGAAAACACTTGAGCACCTCAAGAAATTATGTGTGGCATAATTTTTTTAATAAATGACATACATCGGTTTTAATTGGTAAATGACAACTTAGGAAAGCCATTTGAGCTACTCGCCGAGTTGGAGAATTTGATTGCAATTTTTTAATTGAAGGGCTGATTTGCACTTTATCACCGATTTGGAGGGTTTGGTTGAAGGTTTTTTAAATTTAGGGGGCCATTTGCATTATCGATGTTAGTTTGAGGGCTGATTTGGTACATTTCCCTAGTTTAAAAGCAAAAACAAAAACCTTTTACAATGGATTTGCTTAAAGATAAATGGGCCCTAACATTAAATTGGCCCGACTTATTAATTAAATTAAATACAACACAAATACAAATAATTAAAACATGATTAAACACCATAAAATATTCCCTAACATCATTAATATATGCACCCCAATTCACTATAAAATCGTTTGACTTTTCACCTAAGTCCTACATAATTTTTGAGCTAATGGGGTGCACACATTAATGATATTAAAAATGAGGTGCAAAATCCAATATAACCCAAAATTAAATATGGGGTGCAAAGTCAAACTATTCCTATATTTTATTAATAATTTAAAGAAAATATAGTTAAAATGGTTTCATAAAATAACTTCATAATTTTTATATAGTGTTTAATACATATAAGAGATGGACATAATCCAAGCATTAATTACCATTATTCACAATGATAAGGGTTTTAGATTTTGATGTGCAAAATGATGTTGCTTATGATTCAATGCATGTAACAACTAGTTCAAAACGATGTGTTGTGAATGAGAAATCCTCTATGTTATGGCATCAAAGACTAAAGCATATCCCCATTAAGAGATATAAATGTTTAGTGAATGAAGTACTTAGTACTCTAGACTTTGCTGATTTTGATACTTGTGTGGGTTGTATTACATGTAAACAAACCAAAAAGTATAAGAAAGATTTCAAGAGGAGTTCTAACCCATTGGAAATCATACATAAGATATTTGTTGTCCAGATATGGATGCCAAGTCCGAGATACTTTATCTCCTTCATAGACAATTATTTATGATACATGTATCCCTACTTACTTCGTTTTAAAGATTAGGCGTTAGACACCGTTAAAAAATTTAAGCGTGAAGTAGAGAAGCAATGTAATAAACAAATTAAGATCGTGAGTGGAGAGTACTATGGTAGATATACATAGAATGGACAATCACTTGGTCCATTAGCAAAGTTTCTTCAAGAAAATGGGACTAATCTCTAGATCAGAATGAACATGGGGAGAAGCATGAGGAGTAATGTAAAACTTCCCCATTTTGTGCGTTGAAGCACTAAAAACAACCGCGTATATATCAATTCGAGTTCTATCTAAGGTTGTCTCAAAGATTTCTTTTGAGTTATTTAAAGGATGTAAACCGAGTTTGGGGTTGTGTATGTAAAGTAAGAATCTATAACCCTCAAAAATAAGCTAGACCCTAGGACTTTGGTGGTATTTCATTGGATATGCAGAAAAATCCAAGGGGAATAGATTATATTGTCCATCACATAGCATTAGAATCGCGGAGTCAAGAAACACATAGTTTCTTGAGAATGACTTAGGTAGTGGGAGTGATGAGTTTTAGAGTTTTAGAGTATTTTTCTGAAAGATATCACATTGAGAATCAACCATGCAAACTAAGTGACAAATTGATTGCCGCACACGCTCCTCAAGTACAGATGTGTGCCAAACAACTAATAAATTACAATCTGCATGAAGTTGGAAATGACCCAATAGATCAAACCATTGTTGAAGGGCAACAAAACATTGATGAACTACGTGATGAAGAACCGGTTGAACAACCGTTCTTCAACAAGATGATGAAGCAACATTAGAAAATCTACTAGTTTTCTTTGATATAGGAGCTAAAAATGACCCTGAAACGTTTTCATATGTGACACCGTCCCCCGATTATAAGTTTCGATAATTAAAATTTTGAACAATTAAGAATAAGATTGTTAATTTTATTCTAGTTGTAAATTTTAGCGGTCATCAATGTAAATTATGGAGCCCACGTTGCCGAAGGACCATCTAGTAAACTCCGGGCTGCATATTAAATTCATTTGAGACATGACAATGTTTATATCAGCAGAATTATTTTATTTCGGATTAAAGTAATTCTCTTGAATTAAAATAGGAAGAATTGGAAGGTTGGGCAAATAAATAGGGCAAGGGGCCCAGGGCCCATTTAATAGACCTAGTAAGGACTATAAAGCCTAGGCAGTAAACCTACTACGGGGAGGCATCAGTCTGCGCAGCCATTCCAAAACTTTTGGGGGCCTTTACGTTAAAACCTATCATGCTCCATTTTGATCGTTCAAGAAGGAAATGACCAAAAGGTGAAAGTTGGAGCAAGGAGTGCTATTCACTCCATCTTCCAGGTGAGATGATGGCTCTATGCTTTGTAACTCTTGGGTTTTGTATAAAAAGTTAAAAAGTTAAAAAGTTTTGTAACTCTGGAAAACCAGATTTTATGTTGATAAAAAGTTATGGCTCATGCGCTAACCCCATTCGGAGTTTCGCGCATGAAGCTAGAAGCAGTTGCACGAAGTTAATGTGAGGCTAGAAATAGTCCCTTAGGTTCATATTTGGACCTTGACGTCTTCATAAGAGTTGTAGAAGTCTTCAAGACGAAGCCAACGCCGTTGATATAATAGAAATTGGACCAGCAGCCAATAAAAAGTTATGGCTCATGCGCTGACCCCGTTTGGAGTATCGTGCTTGAAGCCAGGGACACATGTGCGGTCCTCATGAGCGATTCTGCATGAGCGGTTCTCATCAGCGATTCTACATGAGCGATTCTCATGAGCGATCCTCATAAGAGATTCTGCATGAGTGATTCTCTTGAGAGATTCTCATGAGCGATCCTCATGAGCTATTCTGCATGAGCGATTCTCATGAGCGATCCTCATTAGCGATTCTGCATGAGCGATTCTCATGTGCGATCTTCATAAACGATTCTCATGAGCGATTCTCATGAGCGATTTTCATGAGCGATCTTCATGAGCATCTTCATGCGCGAAGTGCATGCGCTAAGTTTGTGTGAGGCCATAAGCCTTCTCTTATGTCCATATTTTATTTTGAATGTTTTTACCTTCATAAGTGTTGCAGGACTTGACAGGACGAATCTCATGACTCCGATATTATTGCTAGTATGGGCTAGTGAAACCCAGGACCAGGAACGCCCAAAATAATATTTCTAGTATGGTCTAGTCAAACCCAGGACCAGGAACGTCCAAAATAATATTTCTAGTATGGGCTGGTAGAACCCAGGACCAGGAACGTCCAAAATAATATTTCTAGTAGGGGTGGGCGCGGTCCGGAACGGTCCGGTAAATTGGTAAAACCCGTAATGTATCCGTGAGGTTTTTAACGGTCCGGTATGGTCCAGTTCCAAGGATAGAACCGTTCGGTACCATGTCATTTCGGAACGGTACAAAATGGTACGGTACAATGCCAAACACATGCTAATTTTTTTTAACAAATCTTGCAATTAGTAGATATCATCACACCAACCAACTCACATGAAATGTTGAAATAAATACAAGAAATTGCATACCTAGTACTAAAATTCACAAATACACAAATAGTGCAACACAACTAAGAAAAAGTATAGCAAAACGATGACGCACGAGATAAATATCATTTTTAATTTACTAAGTTCATGTGAAAATAAAAAAACGAATATCATCAAATTGTTGAATATAATAGAAATCTTCAACGTTCTT